GGACAACAATGGGTAAGGAAGCCAAGGCGAAGCCGGGCTTCCGCGCTAGTAACTAATGATTATATTCTACGTGCATATCGTAAGCTTCAAATTAAGATATATCTTAAAAGCATTTACCCAAATAACGAGCTTCAAAATGTTTTTATTATGCTCCTGTCTTTGTGTGTCATAGTTTCAGCATCACCCATACATGTCAACTCATTGCCGAGAAAAATGAAGGCTCACAACAAACGTCGCGAATGAATATGCCTAAGATTGATAAAACAATTATCTATAACAAGCTACCTCCTGAAAAACAGCTTTAGGTATATATTTTGGCATCGGATGTCTGCATACTTTATTTTTTCGAAGATCAAGTCAAGATTAGAATGGGAAATTTTGGCCAGTTTATTGATCTCCCTAAAAATTATGGACACATCTGTTATAAATGCAAGAGCGTACTTTTCTATTTAAATCGAAACAGTTTTCAGTGTATTTGGTAACTTTTAGGCTCAGTTTACAATAACAAATGCAGAGTAGGGTGGCGATAATACCAACGACGATTTTTGAGAAATCTGTTTCGCAATATTCCGCGACAACTCACTCAAATGTGTGTTGTGCTAACTGTCTTCAACTTCATGTTGATTGTACAATCGATTTACTTTATACTAATAAAGTCCACATCCGCATTCCTTACCCGCAACCCTTCAAATATACAATAAAAAATTTTAATATGTGTATAGCACCTCACAGCCTTAAAAGTTTATTACTCAATTGTATAGCACAAAACTTGGTAGATTTGCAAAATAGATTTTTTAAAACTATTTTCGCTCTTCTTTTCCCAAAAAATCTCTTAATTACAGTAACTTCAAAACACAACTTTCCGTTTTGTAAACAGATATAATTAAAAAGTTCCTGCTCTTCATGAATGTTCTTTTAAAGTGCAACATACACACAAGAAGTTATTTTCAGCAGCGTTTAATAGCGAAGGAAGTTCCTCGGATATCAACAAATGCTGGATTTTGCCCATTTCCGCCTTTATTTTTTCCCACCATAGTGATCTTTACGGAAGTCAATTATAGTAAACAGCATTTTGCGCCTCAAGTCAACCCAATGAACTAAATAAACAAGCTCAAATGTGTGTTTAATCCCCCAAACCCCAACCTTTCAACAGATATGTAATCTACTGTAAGTTACGTTTCCAGTGTATGGGAACAAAACTTAGATAATGCAGGTACTGCCCTTCCTACGTATTCTTATGGAAAACTCTTCGTGTTATGGAACCGGTTTTCTGTCTTGACGTGTGAAGGTCTAGGAAGGAAAGCTGGTTCTCAGTTTCTACTTCCATTGTAAATTTCATTTTCGCGTGCAGACTGTTCATCGTAAACCGTTGTTCTTCGGATTCCTTTATCTTTTCAATAATCGCAAAGACATCTTCTACATATCTTCTGTAGAGTGTTGTGCTTTTCAATGTTGAAGATACGTTTTCTTTGCTAAAGGACGCCAGTAGCTGTCTTCTAGGGGAAAAAGACGCAACACCTTCATCCTTTATAAACCGACTCCCTACTTTGCCACTCTTACTTTCCCACTAGCCTTATATGATATGAAGGATGTTTAGAAAGGTTGCGTCCCAGCATTATGACACATCTTAAATTACCCCAAACAGGAATATTGAATTTCAAACTATGATACTTTAAACAAGGTGAAGATCATGAGATTAGCAGGATTTAATGACGCCATACAATTTCGTGACCTCTTATTAAGCTGCCATGCTGTGACCACAACGTCCCCCTCCTTTACTCTCTCACCATGCGTCCACATCTATGACTAATTGTGTCTACTCCCTTTGCCTATCAAATTTCACCCCTCTAGGCCGACAATTTATTGGGCAGTTAATTTATTCCATTAATTGGCAACGACAGTTTGCAGCTGAATAAGAGGTCACTAAATTTTATGACGTCACTAAATTGTGTTAATTTCATGGTCTTCACTTTGTTCAAATTTCTTCCGGGAAAACAATGTTTTAATTTTATGACACTTTGTATGATTATTTTTCGTGCCGAAGAATCAATGCTCCGTATGTTAATTTTCAGTCAATGCAAAAAAGCTGTTGTCGCAGCAAACACACAGATTACGTTTCTGTCTTCCAAGTATGATAATACAGTAGCGTTGTCAAAGTACGAAGAAGTTCGAAAATCCCTTGAAACAGCAAATTCTGAAAATGAAAAACTCAAGGAAGATTTGGAAAGCGCCCACATGAGATACAAGTAGGTCGTTGCTCTGTTTTCCTTTGCAGAAAGCGTGTAAGCACATTAGTTCCTCTTAATAACTAAGTACGGTATGCGTTTCTTCCACTTTATTATTGAAATATTTGGGCATATGCAGTGAGATGCCAGTTCGATATAATCTTTGGAAGTCTTGGCGAGTAGGAAGTGCTACGTTTTTTCAAATAGCTCTGAAATGTTCAACCTTAACTTCCGGGCTGGAGCTCTGTTATGTATTTGTTTTGTTAGTTAACTGAGATTTGAAATAAACGTGTCCAAAATACTTTCTGAGTAGATCCACATCCACCTTCTTTTGTGGATACCACAGCATCTGCTTCTTCTGAAAGTACATTTTGAAAATATATTCTTGGATATTAAGGAGGTAGAAAGCAATCGACGATGCGATCACGTCAAAGTAAGCCGAGCCCGATAGCCTGGATGCGACAAAATCGAATCCCCACACTGTCTGGTGAAGGGCAACAATAGGAGATAGATGTCGCTATTGATATGTAATGCAAACCAGATTAAGTGCCGCGCGTAACAATTTGTACGCCAACTTAAAAAATAAGCGACGAATACAAGTAACACAAATGCGTAACAAATAGAATTAATCTCGAAAGTTGTGTACAAATAAAAGTACGAGAAAGATGTTAACAAATACAAGTATTGGAAAGAGCTAACACAAATCTATATGTATTTTTCACTGTAAGTTGCAAAAGCATGAGAGTATTCCACTTCCCTTAAGAAGTTTCTCCTGCGCCATGTAGTACATTCGTGCCCTTATGCCGAAGAAGCATGCTGGCGTGTAATACTCCAAACAGAATGAACAGTTCTAAGTACTTTCGCGGCAACCATAGTGTGTGCCCGATTCGACTTGCACCTTGAATTAGGATAGGCCTTTGCGTAGTCGCACATTTTATGTCGTACATTTTCAAAGACTATTTCAGGTGAGACCACCAAGCCAGAAGTGATCGCAATAATCTATTTATTAATGGTTTAATATTTCGAACTGTCCTGCCTCCTGTCATTCGTCAGGCCACCCACGCTCGAATTAGGAACCAGCTTACTCCGTCAGTCCGACTCATCCGCATGTAACAAATTTCACCACTTGATTAGTGCAGTCGTTGCGTTTTCAGCTGTCAGTCACGAATCAGGGTTGCTTAATCTACTTCGTTTTAGGGGGAAAGAGATAGGACGGAAGGCGCCCCCGAAGGACACTAATAAGAAATAGAGGTCCGAATCGATTAAACGCCCTCCCCCAGCCTCATGCCGCGTGAATAGGGTCACGGTTTGCCTTGTGCTAACTGCCAGTAAAGATGAATTTTCCCGCGTCATAATTCTAACGTTAACTCTAGCCGAAACTTTCATAGTATACTTAATCGTAACCATAACTTTAATCGACTTGGACTTATTGGTGTCGTAACAATTAAAGAAGGAGGAAGGATTAATCTAAGTAACCGTTATTTTATCCTTAAGCACTCGACGTGGGCACTGTGGACCCTATCATCTGGCCGACCTGGTAGCTTTAAACCTTCTTAAGCCTTGAAGCTATATACACCAATTGACTGAACGCATTTCCTGTCAGATTATCACAGAACCACGTTTGTTTAACATCAGACGTAGAGAGAGGCTTTGCTGTGTCAGTTCTAAAGGGAACTTGGGCGCGTGCGTGAGGAGAGATAGGAATATCTGTCTGATCAGATCCAGCGTCGGATCACATCCACAATCAGTTTGACGGTGTCATATGATTAGAAATCGATGGGTGGGTTAAGTTAGTATCACTGTAGTGCACATCACGCACAGGTCAGATCTGCATATCTGGATTGATGGTTAAAAGATTAATCCAGAAATAAAGTAATATTAATGCTTCGTATAATCGGCAAAACTCAATATATAGACCAAAAATTGTCCCGCTGACCGTAATTAGCACGAGCAGGATACCAGGATTCGTCTAGTATTGCTAAGTTATATTCAGCATCTCTCTTTGCCTTCACTGTACTAGACCGCTAGATATGAATAATTTATTTACATTAGATGTGGGGTACTTGCTGAGTTTTCCAGTTAAATCCACGTCATGAGGCCAAAGAAATCGAGAAAGCGCACCTTGGCATGGCATTTAGTTCTTCTTGGCTTACTTACGGAGATGCATGGAATAGCAGTACCTTAAAAATGTTTTGCTGTAGCCTTGTGTTCCTCTTATATAACTATATAATGTAATTATTTTCACGGAAGAACGGATAAACGATGGTAACAGGTATAAAGGATGAGTTTTTTTAAATTCTATCATGGTTTTTTAGCTTTTTGTGCTCTGACACGTTGTTTTCCTTTTGGCAGCGTTCTTCAGGACCATTGCGCGGCGCTCAATACATACAGGGACCTCTTCAACTTCCAGCTTATCTACATCGCCCGTGCTTTAAATTCGAAGTACATGAGGAAGTTGCCTTCTTAAATTCATCCGTTTTAAAACCTTTTGATTAGTTGGCCTTCTTCCTAAAGCTTTCCTTTTTCAGCATGATTTAAATCTCGCTACTAAAGTGGTAGCCATGCTAGCCTCTGTAGAGCTGTCTTCTAAAAGGAATAATCCCTAACCACATATTGTGAGAAAAACCTAAAAATTGTTATGCATTTCTTTCGGAACCTTGTAGAAAGATTGTGAAGTATCGTTTGTCTGGTTGTTTTTATACATTTGTATGGGATCATCCGCATTTTAACGAATAGCTACTTGCATATTAAAGTTTGCAAACCGCTTTCTCAAAAGTTCCGGTTCCTCAGATATTTATTTTTCTCTCGAACTTTTAACTTAAACAGAGTCAGATCCTTATACGTTCTCTGTCACAATTACCAATAAGTGCTTGTTTTGACCACAAGTAGAACACAAGAGAGGAAATAACAAAAAATGACAAGTAAATTCAACTACTTTCGAAACGTATATGCAAAATTAAAAGTCTAAGAGTTTGAGTTTAGATCCACGTCATTGCAGTGCGCGGAAAATGATATAAAAGCTTGGATTTACGGTAAATCAGAGTGATTGTAAATTCATAAAATGACAGATGCGTTGGAATCGCTTAGTTAATCAAAATCTCTATCGTACTACTGAGACGGTAGAATGGATTATATACCAATGATGACTCTTCTTTCTAACCAAGCATTCTAACGGATCCCATGATGTAATAATTTGGTTAATCTGCTTCGAGTTGTAGATTGAGTAAGCACCTACGAGTTCATGAAGCTTATTGTCGAAAACCAAATCATATCTTGCCCCCTTTTCCTATTCAGGAGTGAGGCAAGTCAGAAGGTGGAATATGTAATGGCGCTGATTTCGAAATACCGAAGATTAGGCGACAAGCCAATCGAGGAGCTCACTCGCATCGTAGAAGAGGAGATGCAGAGGGCGGAGAGTGGAGGTCTGCCCACAATCGCCCGTCCCAGCTCTTCCAAGTCCAAAGCAAAGAGCTCGATGATGGAAAAGTAGTCACTCCTAATGAAACAGGAAGAGCAGCGACTTGTTCGCCTGATCTACTTTTCCAGTGTAAATGGTATTAAAATAAAAATACCATTGTACTAATATCCGAGAATCAATTCGAGTAAATACCTTCGGTAAATTCAAACGAATCTTCTGAGTGTCTTGATTTTTAGGAAGGGAAAACTCTCACCACAAGATCTCAGGTGTAGCTGATGTTTCTGGGCTTCCGTTTGGTCGCTTAACCAAAAACGGATAATCGTGAAAAATAACGCCACCAAATAGATCATGTCTTATTCTCACTTCTCTACTGTCTTCCGGGAAAACTGAAACCACTTTTGAGCACCTGCGCTAAATACGCTGGGGATTGACGATGATAGTGGTAGTGAGCTGTGAATGCTGTGTACACTTTAAACGAGTTTTCGCTCGACCAATTGAGCAGATAATAATTGATTTAATTTACAAGGCCAACGTTATCTGTGTTACAACCTAGACAGACTGATTTCATTGATCTGTATATGCCATGCCATGTTCACAGTCCCAGAATTGTGTTTTGACCTGACTAACGCTCGTGCCATTAACCGTGCACTTCATTTTCTTGGGATGAGGATACATGGTTTGGGTTTTTTATGCATTCGAACTAATTGGCTGGATTATTGCAGAAATTTCTCAGGTTCGCTTGCAACCAACTTTCCTATGTGACACGCACCCCATATTTTGCGTCAGCTCAGTTAAATGCAGCCTGTTGGTAGAGCTGTGTACCCTTTTACTTAACGTTAGGACCTGTTTAACCACTCCATCTCCACCAGTTTCCGAATTCCATAAGTTTTGACTTTAGCTTTGAGTGTTAAGAGTAGTTAAAACTGGACACGAGGAACTTGCACAGTACTTAAAGTAACATGCTGCCATCGATATACTTTGTTGTAATATAGGGTGAAGACGCTGTTCAAATACTGGAACATCGGCAAACTCAATAAGGGAACTATTTTAAAATTATTGTCCAATTAATCGTAGACAATGAAATGTGAACTCTACTTCCTTTAGCCACCAAGTGGTGACTGCAGTATCCAAACCATAATCCCAGGACCCTATTTGTTAAGCAGTACCGGAAAATCTGCGGTTGTCTTCGTCAGACTCAATTCAACTGCTAGTGCACTCTGGTGTTCTGACACGACCACAAGACCCACCGAATGGATCTCGGTGTCATCACTTTTGCTATCACCAGTGAGTTTTCATCTCGTGCATCATAGAAGTCGTGTGCTAATTTACCCTTAGCGGAGCAGATTCTCCCTGGTCAACTGGCTGCGAGGAAACTCCGTGGAAAGTAATCATTCGTGCGCTCTGTTACCTGGGGCTCACGCCATTCAATTTTGTGCTCTAGTCCAATAATAAATGCTTTCATGCATCATTTTGTCTAACTTATTTTTTTGCGACAAAACTTTGTTGAACTTTTCGATGAATGCGTAAACGAACTTTTAAAGTCCGCAAATATAAAGAGAGCGACTGACATTCTTTGTTGGTGTATGCACACCATCTTAACTTGCATAAGAGTTTTCCATTAACTTGTTTGTGGCCCTAGTTATGTTAATTTAAACTGGCCATTTAAGTTGAATTAGCCAGACTTTACTTCTTGTTTTAAAAGGAAGAGTGCTGTGTTCTTTCCGTCCAAATGCACCTGTTGCTTATCAGTTGGACTCAAAATAAATTTTCGCCAACTTTATAGAAACTAACCCAGAATGTACCCCCATAAATGGGGAAAGTCACATTCACTTATCCGAAATGGGCCCCTCAAGTATATTCCTCTATGCAGGATGTTTCCACAACGGTCACTAATATTACCCTTTAAGAGACTCTTATACGACGTAAACTCTCGGCAACAAGAGGGCTCCTTTTCTTGTATCCTGCTAATACCAACAGAAAGGCCGTCAAGGCTGCATTACACGGGAAATAAAAACTCAATACGGTCACAGATAACGGAAAGGAGTAAGGCTCGCATTCACAGTCATCAGGTTACTTGAACCTTATTTTTACATGTTAACTGAGGCACACGGCAATGGCACATAAAGCTATTTGTTTTATTTTTACTTCCAAGGCAAAGAAGCTTGGGTTTGTTTCACTCAGGCAGTTCTGGGTGTGGTGGGGGCCCCATTACGTTTCACCTGTCTGGTTTTTGGGGGATTCTCAAGCGAGGGTAACCGAACACTCGTGGTAAAAAGGCTCTGGAAAATGATGTTGGTGTGTTCTGAGGGTAAACAGGGCAACAAGCACTCAATTACCCAGGGTTCTTGTCGAGTCAGTTCTTTGAATTTGTTTAGCGTTATCGGATGGTTAATTGTGCACTGAAGTTTGTCACACAGATAATTGACTGTATCTCGAACTGGTTCATCAGGATCGATTTCCGGATTCTGAGCGGCGACATTCACATCAAATGTATCATAAAGAAGCCGGCGAAACTCGACTGTCTTGCGAAGTAAGCCATCGGAGTCGATATCCATTACATGAAATGCCAGTTCGCAACGGTCTTCTAGAGTTCCACGCAACAAAATAGAGAGAGTAAGAAGAAAATCCATCGGACTGATATTCTTTCTCTGGCCAACAACGTGAGGCGACTGGAGCATAGCGGCTCTGCAGAGCCCATCTAGTGCGAATGGATTGGTCATCTCTAAAGTACTGTAGAGAAAAGCCTTCATTTCTTCTGCAGTCATATCCCTGACTTCGAGGCCAGTAAGCTGGACAAACATATGTAAAAGGATACTCACTTCCGTGCGATTGAAATAAATTTTCGGGTGTTTGAAGGCTTCTACAGCGATGTTCATTATGGCACTCCGAATTCTAGCAGACAAGTTTTCACAATTCGAAAGATGGTCCAAGTTGCCCTTGTCTGCTTTGACGAAGGCATTGGTGCAAAAGTCACGTGGCTTAATTTTTTTGCGGGTCTGAATAACCTCATCTGTGAATGGTGCGAAGTAAGACGGTAGCTCAATATTGAGTTTTACTGGTTTGGATGATTTAGCTTTGAATCGTTCATTGCCCAACATTTTCCTCCAGAACGTGGCAACCCGCGTAGCGAGGAAGCCTAGACCTCGCCAGCTACCTTTTATTTCCTTTTGAAATTATTGATTTGTGCGCTTGACATGGCGGTACAAACGTGGAAAATAAAGACTGATCACGAGACCCTCTCCTTCTAAAGGAATATTTCTATTGCAAAAGCTTTCACACCGCACAAAAATGCTTCCTCGGAACAACTGCATACGTTACAAACGTGCATTTTCAGTTGTTTACAATGAACTTTATGACCTCTCTTGGCCTCTTGAAATCTACAAAGTACCCAATTTATGTTTACGGACATACGGAACATCAAAGACCTCTAAGCAACTTCGCTATCAGGAACCCTACATCCTGCATGCTCTCATCAACGATTTTATTCATTCACCCCCTTACAGGGTCTGTGATAAACGCTCGGTATTTTTTGGACTTGTAGAAATAAGAAGTTGCAAATTCTGAGGTTCACTAAAGACCAAATGCTCTACCTGTACTGTTAGCCGTTGGGCGACTGCTGGTGCGACTCGGGACTGATCCTCAAAGTACAAGGCTTCAAGTGTGTGCCCTAACACGATCGGCGAGCAGCCATTTACTAATTTTAAAATATCCGATCGTAATCGGCAGGACAAAGGGTCCGTGGTTCAGTGATTAAGTTTTGGACTTCAAACAAGAAGCTCACGGGTCACAAAAAGCTGCGGTCAGGCAAGCCTAGCCAATGACGGCTTAAAAGCCAGGCATGGACTTTACAGTCACCCTTGTCTTTGTCGGTAACGTCATTCTGCCTATAAGTGTCTCTGCCCAATACTGCCAACGATGACGTTGCGGGAGAAGTGCAGTTGTAACATTGAAAACCGCATGCTAGGTATGTCGAACACAAGGGTTATCAAGGGATATGCAGTGCATTCTTACTGACAATTTAGTACAACAAAGCAGCAGTTTGGCTAATGAATCGGCCTTTTGGAAAAGCAGAGTTAGAAAACCCGAAAACCCAAATCCTGAAAAAGAAAGGAGCATCCAAACTCTTGAATCGTGATGAAGTATACTCCATGCAAGCTGACCCCCGTCTGATCCATACAGGCAACCACTGTCTAAAATACCAGCGAGCACTTGATGGCTTCTGAAATATGCAGAAAGTTCTTGCACTCTTTTGCAACTTTCTCTCTCTTCTAAAACAGTAAGAGCACAAAGAGTTAATAACTTCAGAAAGTGGTCATATAAAAACGATTTTTGTTTTAAGAAACTGACATTGCGAACCTAGTAGGAAGAATCGGCCGCCGGTTTCGATTTTACCTACTGTGTGTTGCACGGCAGAGTTGGTGTAGAGGAGGTGACTTGCGCTTGAATTTGTTTCTGTTGGCGGTAGACGGTCGCGGCACCTTTCACTCTCTCTCTCTCCTCCCTAATCTACCCGGGCACGGGGTCAAGACGGTGTCGGGAAGATTGCAACGGCGATTGGGCAGGGTAGCTAAGCGCCTTATTTGCATCTGCCACGCACGCCTGGTTCGCTTCAGACGGAGCAGCATTTCACACAAACAGCAACGAGACTGGCTCAAATCCTCACTGAGTGGGGTGTCATAGAGGCCATGAGAAGAAGACATAGTTGCGGCCTGACTCTCCACCCAGAGAAAAAGAATGACTTAAGAGTCAGCTGACAGCCTCCCAAACCACGAATTCTAGCGCATCATGATTGATTCGAGAGCGTCAATTTTTTTATTGTAAGGCATATTGAGAAGGAGAAGATACGATAGCTGTGACAAGAGTTTTGTTCGCCTGACGTTTCGAAGTTCGTCGCGGATGTTTTTTTCAGAGACATGAGCATAAACAGTAGCAGAAAATGGCAATGCATGCACAGGGGGTTGCAGGATTTATAGAACACAGCCACCATGATACTGCACACTTATAACTATTAACGACTTCCCTATCGAGGATAATTGCCTGCTTATGCACTAATGGCTTGACGATCGGCGTACGGGTTGTCACCTGCTGAACTTTCATCACACATGGTGGACTTGAATGTGATGATTGCTCGATCATCTGGCTCCCCGGTGTTGGAATTAGAAGAGGCGCTGGCCTGTGCG